GCCACAGGGACACTGCAAACAGCTATAAATGCAGCCTGGTTGTCAAGTACCTGAAGTTCAATCAGGGGGGTCCCAACCATCAGAACCTCAAATCCAGGTCATACGTAGCCCCTAGGTAGGTCATCATCACTTCAAATGATCACTAAGCAACCAGTTGTAAGTCAAGGACTATCTGTACAAACTTCTCCATTCCATCTGGAGAAGTTTCTTTTCAAAGAGCCCAGCGCTTTTCAAGGGATAGTAAGTTTTTAAAGAGTTAAAACACTGGATAAATACTTTGCATAGAATACCCCAAAACACACATTTTGCAGAGAGAGAAGTTCCCTGAGGATGGGCTCCAGCACAAGTCTGAAAGCGTGGAAGACTTAGCCTCTGGTTCCAATGACCAGCCCAGACTGGATCTTGTTTTAAAGAGTTAAAATAACTGAAGAAACTTTTCACCCCTTGGAAGTAAGTGTGACCTATATCTGATCTCATTTTTCTTCCCAAGAAAAATAAACAGCAGCCAAACTATTCCCCAAATAACATCTGTCCTGCCATGATCTCCCATGATTCCATTTAAGTAAAATCCTCAAATTTGTTTCCAGGGAAATTGATGGTATCTACACTGCAGTCTGAAAAAACAGCTAAAATCTTTTCTGCAGAATAATGTATTCTCTATCTATCTATCTATCTATCTATCTATCTATCTATATTATTTTGAAAAGACTTTCTTTGGAAGGAAGTACTCCTTTTGTACTCTTTTTGAGAAGAGTACAGAACAAGTTCTTAATCTGCAAGTGCAGTTCTTGCATTCTGGAAAATGGGAAAAGGTTCAAGAAAAGGATATCAAGCCTTCCCTTCAATTTTCAATCAGGTGGCAGGAGAGAAGAATTGTTTTAACAGGCAATCTCTGAACAATATTCCATTTAGCAGGCTTCATATCCACGACTTGTAGAACTGTAGAGTACGGATTCAGTAAAGGATTTCCATGGTCATATGTATCTCTCTCTGGAAATAAATCACATGTAGGACAAGCTTCTCTTTTTTAGGCTCTTGGTTAGACCACAATAGACCACAAAAGAAGCAGGAAGGAAGAGACAAAAGGAATTAGAAAAATAATGTCTCTAAACACAGCAGCTGACTTTCTTTCATTGCCTAAATGCATGCCGGGCTGATTAAGCTTTTTAAGATCCTGCCTGGAATTTCCCAGTAATGTAATAATACTGCTTTCCGATAATTTTTCCTAAAAGTAGGGGTGAAACAAGGAGGGGGGTGGAATGAGGAGGTGGGCTGCCTGCTTCATGGTAAAAGAAGAGGAAGCAAATAAGAAATTCGATTGGCCGTATTTTGGAGGAGCAGAAATGGGGAGACTGGGCTGTGACCCCTTTAGAAAAGAAGCCAGCAAACATATTGTGGCCAATGAGGTTTGCACACTTTATTTTTGGTTTCTGTCTTGAGCAACTGAGGTTTTGCAGAGGGTGCCATCAGCATGATGTCACCTACGTGGAAGAATCAGTTTCAATTTAAAAAAAAATATTCAAGTTTCTGGTTTTGTTTTAAGTATGCTTAGGCCAATTTATTTCTCTTCAGTTTTCATCTGCACTTCAGTGCCGGGCTTTGTAGCTAAAACTCAGTAGAAGGAGTCTGAGAACTGCACAAACTGATAATATGTGGGCACCCTGTATTTTTGCCCCAAAGGAAAGAAAATACAGGAAGTCCTCAACTTATAACCACAACTGAGCCCAACATTTCCATTGCTAAGCAAGGTAGTTGTTAAGTGAATTTTGCTCCATTTTACAACATTTTTGCCATAGTTGTTAAGCAAATCAATGCAGTTGTTAAGTGAATCACGCTGTCATTAAACAAATCAGGCTTCCCCAATGACTTTCCTTGTCAGAAGCTGGCTGGGAAGGTTATAAATGGTGGTTCCAAGGTTGGTAAAATAAGGACCCAGATTGTTGGGGGTTGTATCAGAGAGTGCTATAAAGCACTATGGCGTGGTTTATAGGAATAAGATCTATTGCACTTACATGACCACTGGTAAGTACAACTATCATAAACACATGCCAGTTACCAAGCATCTGAATTTTGGTCATGTGACCATGGAGATGCTGCAATGGCTGTGTGAAAAATGGTCATAAGTCACTTTTTTTAGTCTTGTAATTTTGAACAGTCACTAAATGAATAGTTGTAAGTGGAGGACTACTTATATTAACACTGGGAGTCTGTAGTGTAGAGCAGGGATCCCCAAGCCCCGGTCTATGGAAGATACTAGGCCACGGCATGCCAGCAACCGGTCTGCCCAAACAAGCAAAGCCCCATATGTGGGATGCAGACAGCACACAAAACCACACACCTTCCGGTCCATGGAAAAACCTTTCTCCATGGAACTGGTCCCTGGTACCCAAAAGGTTGGGGACCTCTGGTGTAGAGAATAACTTAAGCTCCTTCCCCATCTCTTTTACAGCTCTGGCATTTTCACATTGACAGTTCCTAACACTATCAATTAGAAGACATTGTGCTGCTATTGGCTTTATTTCTCCACCTTCCTGAGGCTTTCATACAAGGAAAAAAGCAGCAGCAGTGAGCAGAAATGGGGAAAATACAAACAATGTATACATCATAGAATTGGAATCATAGAAGCAGTGGGGTTTTTTTGGTAAAAAGAAAAGGTGCCGGAACTCACACACGTCATACAACCCGCCTTGCCTACCCTACAAGGTTCCATCCCAAAAAGGTGCCAGAACTCCGTTCTGGGCATTCTATGACAAAAAAAGCCCTGCATAGAACAGAACCATAACAATCATAGACAGCATGTTCACAGCACTCATAACTACATCAGCCAAAGATCAAAGTGCCCAGGCTTAAAAAATACTAACTTTGGCAGGTGCTAATCTTAGTTTTATGGGGTTTTATGATCTTCAAAAGCTAGCCCTTTTATTTATGATTAATCATACTGTGCAATCTCTGAATATGGGTTAATTCAATAATCAAGGGAAGCATGTTGTGTTAACAAAGCTATAAGAAGAGCTTAAGGAAGTGATGCAAGACACTAACTCTAGTGTCAATCAAGCATTATAGAAACCCCTTGGAAGGGGAAAAGCCTGTTTCTAACCATAGAAAGAAAAGCTATAGTCAGAATCAAGTGTCTGGGAAATATTTAGGAGCCTAGAAAAGTGAGAAAATCTTTTATGTCTTGTGAATGGGGCCAAGCCAGTTGAGAAGCACCATGTCACAATAGCTTCATTGGAGAGTTATCTGATGACTATGGCAGTGCAGCCTGCTGCAGAGCATGTAATTGACATGGACTTCCTAAGAGTGCTGGATGTGACCTTCACAGAAACACATAATTAATAGATTCTGTGTTCACACAGTACACTGATAAACTAAGGAAACATGTGGGCAACAGAATGACCAAGGTTAAAACTAACCAAAATATCTGCTTGTGCAAATGCGGCTGCTGGGTTTTTAACTAATCTCATTAAGTATATTGAGTAAACCCAGTTTCCCAAACATTCTCTCACACCCACTGCCAAAAATGTTGCAATGAGCACACCAGGAAATCTTTGCAGAACAAGCTGTATAGAAATACAATTTATTCAATGTGTCATGCGTTTGTGTTACATATAAAGTAAATACAAGTGCGGGTTCGTTTTTTTTTAATTTAAAAAGGTATTTGTCTTTGTTAATTTGCTTTTGCACTCTTTGATTGGAAATTGATCAATGTTGGGATTGGCAGCTGAATATATAAATAAAGGGAATAAAATTTCTAGTGTCTGCTATATTAAAATGTCTCCTGGGAGAACCTAGAATATCCTAGAAGGGATTTTTTTTAAAGTTCCCTTCTGCTTCCATCACAGCTGTGTTTGAACCTGATGAGAGTGGTGAGCACTTAGGCTTCTGTTTATGGAATTTCATCGGAAGTTTGGATTTGACCATTGGGAAAGATTGCAGCTGGGTCAAAGAAACAGACCACGACTGTTTCTGGAAGAGTCAGAATTTTTTATAGTGGACTACAGATGGAACCATGATAAGGGCAACAGGATTCTTCTTAGTTGTCACTGATGACAACCTTGTTAACTGCTACTGAATATTTCCAGGTAATGTTCTGGCTAAAAGAAAATCTGACATTGAATTTGAACCTGCAATTGCACTTGCGGTTCTACCCAATGTCTAATTTTATAGCATTGGACCAATTCTCTTCTCTGCACTTTTTCTTAAGGTGCAGACCATATTATTTTGGGACTCGCAGTAAAGAGACAAACTCAGCAAAAGAGACAGGGACAAAACTAAATTAAATTTCATCTTTATTTTGGAAAGTACCAAGTCACATCTTACTGGGATAAAGATGCTAATAAATACTGTTGTGAACACAGCTTTTAACAATTATGTATCAATAGAAATACAATAGAAATAGAAATATCACGTATTCATTTTCAGATAAGGATGTGAAATGCCTGTGACAATATATAAATAAATGCAAACAAATGGGTGCAGAACTGGATTCAAATATAGTTTTCACAGATTCTGAAATCTCTAGCTTGTGAAATCTCTGCTCTCAGTTTCAATCTATGTTTAGACTTTCCTGAAAAATACCTCATAAATACAGTGAAATCTCTGTAACTAACAATTAAATTTCCATCTTTGTTTTCATGATGTCCCATATACCATTCTGGGAGTTAAGTTTGAAAAAGTGCACTGGGACTTTCCCTAGTGGTTAGGTTAGAAAATAGTATAGTCCTGAACTTGAGTAAATTTCAGTAGTTGAATAACACAATTTAGCAGCACCATTCGAACTCATAATGAGATGGTTTTTATTTAAGAATGGGAGCGATGGGCTCTTTAATTTCAAAAGCATAGCTTTCAAACATTTTAGGTGAACAATGCACCTGGTCTTCAGCCACATCAGGATAAAGCAGAGTAATTTTCAAACTAATTTGGGGAACAATAGGATCTGAAGTTGGAAGATTTAGCTAAGAAAGGAAGCCCTTCAAGTGTTGATGATAGAAGTCCACAGCATGAGCATGAGTAACAAGACCAGGAGATTCCTGCCTTCTAACCTTGGAATCTCCTGGCAGGGGCTCTGTTCAGCCACCAAATTGTCAGAATTTATGCGGATTGTGACAAATGCATAGTTGAGCTTCTAATGTAGTTGTTTCCCAGATGGAGTTTCTCTGTTGACATCAACATGGCAAACGCTCAGCAATTAGGATCTTCATTCTTCTTTGAAAGATCTCACAATAGTCTTGACCCATTCTTCTCTTGGGTTAACACAGGCTGGTGTACCATTCCTTAGCATAAACCTATCAGAAAGTAAGATTTTTACAGTTTAAGCTATATTTTCACCAACTGAGTTCACATAGCACACTAAGTTACAATTTATTTAAATATATAGTTTGTTAAAAAAAATTGGCTGGGTTTAGAAAAGCATGCTGAGTTGTGATACCATATTTATGAGCTACAAAGCAATGAATGGATTTTATAATACTCTACTACAGTAGGGCATTGTTCTTCAACCTTGGAATTTTAAAATATGTGGACTTCAACTTCCAAAATTTCTCAGTCAGCCATGCTCATTGGGGAATTCTGGGAGTTGAAGTCCACATATCTTAATGTCACCAAGATTGGGAAACACTGCAATAGGGTATGCACACCTTCAAAAGTTTCAGACCTTAGACTTCCGGTTCCGGATTACGGCGTGTGCAGTCATGCAAAGAGCTCTGTCTCTTTGCCAGCTGCTTTCCCTCCACCAGTAGACCCTTAATCGGGTCGAAAAGTTGCCCTGGAGGGGCAACCACTGTCGAGGAGGCCCTCGTTGACTGCAGAAGGTCAGCAGCTGCTTCCGCGGTCCGAGCCAGCTCCTTAGGGCTGTCGGAGAAAAGATCGGCCAGTAAAATGGCCAATCACCCAACTGCACCAGCCGAAAGTCAGAAGAACAACTAAGCGTGAAGAACCACAGTGGAGAAATCCGGGTGAGACCTTTCCTTCCCTCTCTTAGCCCCAACTATTTTCCTGTAAAAAGCCTCTGAATGACTTCCCTGCCTTAACAGAGCGGTGTTTGTCCACTTGGGAAAAAAAGCTTTGAGCAAAACTATAAAACAGTAAATTTTTACTGGATATTTAATTTTTTGGACATTTAACAATTGAAAAAATTGTTAAATCCTGAAAAAATCCTTATCATAGAACATTATTATTATTTTATCTACTATGCTGGAGATATTTGTTTTTCTCTCTCTCTATTTTCCTAATGAAATAAAATCCTTTTAATTAGGAAAAAAAGATTTTACAGCTTACTGAGGACATCTTGTGGTGAAAGGTGTTACTGCAATTGTACTTTCTCTTGGTGTTTGAAGATGGATTTGACCTTCAAATGATAATAAAAGGGAAAAGATAAAGCCCTTGAAACAGCTGTGGCTGAATTTGCTTCCTAGAAATTGTGGAGGTGGATATCTTAATAAATATATTTTCTACTAAAAGACTATTTTATCACAGAAATGGAGGAATCTTACCCACAGCTTGATTATGAGTTTATATTGGAAAAAATCCTAGAAGCTACAGAGTATATGAAATCTTGGAGAAAAATTAAAGATCATATTGCAGAACCACAAACTGAATTTCAAATCTTAAAGGACTAACCTATAGGCCAAGGAACAATAAAGGAAGAACAGATTAGATTTAAAGAGGCCTATATGCAACAGTTCACACAATTTAAAGAAATGGAGGAAGAAGCTATTGATCAATTGAACTCTAGAAAAACGCTTGACTTAAAATCTCAAATTGAGACTCTAATTGATCACTCCACAAGTCAACTAATCACTACAGAAGAGGATATTTCACAAGTCTACATACAAATTATGGAGAACTTTGAGGATCAAAGAATGACTTCAATTGAAATATTTGCAGTCTTAAAAGCAACAGGAACTGACTTCCAGATGCGATCTATTAAAAACTGTGATAACCTGGATAATCAACTAGTAACTACAACATGGAACAAAATTGACTATACTATCCAGATGATACTGGAAGAAGGGGAAGAGAACTTAGACCAGATTGATGTGTCGATAAATACCCACACTCAAATACTGAGATTTGATGATACAGATGCGGTATTATGGAAACCAGCCTGGCACAGAAAGAAAGCTAGAGTTAGATTTAAAAATGTGATTTAAAATTTTACTTAATGAGTTAAAAAGACTTTAGAGATCTGGATTGATTTAACAATTAATTAGGTATGTGAAGTTAGCAAGATAATATTTTGTGTAACAATATGCTTGTTTTAGATATGATAATTATTTGGACGAGATTTAAATTTTACTTAATGGGCTGAAATGATTTTTTTTCTATAGAAATAGATTGACTGATAGATTATATATCTAAAATGTAGAGTAATATTTTTATTTTAAGTAGGATAATTATTTTGTAATGGAAGAAGAATTAGAGAGATTTGTGATAAGAGAAGAAATGGTACCAATCAATGATCTATTAGACTAAGAAATAGAATATATGTGGAAATATTAAAATGTTACTGTCGGAATATTATGTGTATGTAGAAGGGATACCCAAAGTGTTAATAATATGTTTATTCAAGATTAAATTGGAATATGGTAATTGTAAATTAGTAAAGCTTAAAAACAGGATTTGGATTTACATAGATGTAATGTTATTGATGATTGTTTTGACTGATTGAATTTCATGTAGAAATGGATTAATCTAAATATGTTATACTATTTGAGGGAAATAGAAAGGGAATCTGTAATGAATTAATTTGAGTTATATATGTATGTCTTTGTTTTTGGATGATTGATTACCCCATCACCACGGTGTTTCTTGAGCACTCTGATGTAAAAATTAAAAAACCAATAAAACTTTTTTATTAAAAAAAAGTTTCAGACCTTACACAGACAAAGTATCTCTCTACTGTACATTCAGGGTTCTATGCCTGATGAATTAGACTTTAGTTCATTGAAGGGACTGCAAAGGACACCAGTTTCCTTGCTCCCAGACTTACACTTGAGATGGCAAACTGCAGGATCCACTGGTGAAGAAAAAACTTTTCACAAGATGCTTTGGAATTTTTCTCTGGGTGTAACTTAGGCAGCAGATGGTTGAATCAAAGCCAACTGTAAGAGATGTTAAAGGTGCCAATATTTAGTTTAGTTCAATTATAAAATATCAGCCTTTTCTATACAAGGTCTTTGAGATCTTTGTTTCCTGGGGTTGACCATTCATCATCACATTGACCACATTTAACTCCCATAGCTCCATTTGAATCTGATAGATGGAGATAGATAGATAGATAGATAGATAGATAGATAGATAGATAGATAGATAGATGATACATACATGATGGATGGATGGATGGATGGATGGATGGATGGATGGATGGATAGATGATACATACATGATGGATGGGTAGATGGATAGATAGATAGATAGATAGATAGATAGATAGATAGATAGACAGATAGATAGATGATACATACATGATGGATGGATGGATGGATAAATAGATGATACATACATGATGGATGGATGGATGGATGGATGGATGGATGGATGGATGGATAGATAGATAGATAGATAGATAGATAGATAGATGATAGGTAGGTAGGTAGGCAGGCAGGCAGGCAGGCAGGCAGGCAGGCAGGCAGATCAACTGATATCATTGGCTTCTAGCCTATAAAAGATATCATTCTCAGTGAAAAAACTAGCTAATGTCATTATTTTTAAATACATTTAGCTTACCAGTGACTCTGATTGTAGAATCTATTAATTCAGAGTATATGAAACTAAGTTTCCTAACCACTGGGTAATTTCTATATAAAATGAAATACCCCTTTTTAAAATGTCACTATTCTGAAGATACAGTATACAGTAGCTGTCTAATCTTTCAAAGATGTTTCTATGTTACTTTCAGACATATTACATGCTACCTATCAAATACACCATCCACAACTGTACATTTGTTTGTAAGTTCAGACTGAAATTCATTTAGCTCTAAGTTAACTCACATGCATTAGTTACAGGCAGAGAGATGGAGGCCACCAGAAAGAGGAACATGAAGGCTACCACTGAGATCTTCATGATGAACAGCGTTGAAGAGCAGACTCAGGAGTTTTGAAAATACTGTCTCTTTTGTTTGATGCTCCCTATTCTTGAATGCTCCTTTTATAGAACTTTCTGATTATGCTCATGGGAAAGTTTATGTGATTTTACTCATAAGGGAAAATATCAGAAATCCATTCCTGAGAAACAGAATTGATATCATGCAACAAGTGTTGCAAACAAAAAAGAGAAGTTTCAGGGGAACACCTCAACCTCATGAAATCATAGAAAGTAGCCAAAGATATCTATTCTTGTGAAGAATTATTTCTACATTTCCTCAGTGGCTGGTGGCATGGCAACCATACTCAAAAACTAAGAATGAAATCATTGCAAAAGGTTTTTTCTTCTATTTATGGTGATCACCCGAAAATATATGCAAAAACTATCATATAGGCCAGAGGTAGGCAACCTTGGCTCTTTTATGACTCGTGGACTTCAATTCCCAGAATTCCTGACAGCATAGCTGACTCAGGAATTCTGGGAGTTGAAGTCCATGAGTCATAAAAGAGCCAAGGTTGCCTATCCCTGATAGAGGCCAATGCTGCCACATTCTGCCTAAATCCAAAAAAAGGACCAATATATTTAAATAGATGACCTCCAAGGTCCTTTCCAACTTCCAATATATTTAAATAGATGACCTCCAAGGTCCATTATTATTATTATTATTATTATTATTATTATTATTATTATTTATCCTTCTATAAAATACACCAAGGAAAGATACATATCAATGGGGAAGCTAACCAGACATTTGTAACAAGAGGGCATTCTTGGTCTACAGATTCCAGTTCAAAACACCTTTTGTACAATTCATCTTCCAAGTTTGATTAAACGTTCTATGTGCCACCCATCTGTGGAACAGGAATCCCTCTGCACCATCTAAACCTCACTGAGTTGGAATTTCTTGTCTCTGGGAATTCCCTAGATGTACTTTGCCAGCCAGAGGTAAAAATCAGATGAGGACTAGAGCCCCCTTTGAGATTCAAACCTGACTACTTAAATCTGTCAAAGCCTTTAATTTTCAGTTCTTGTAACACAAGCTAAAATAATTGAAAGTTTTCAGTTTTTACTCATGGGACCTCTCCTCATTCTGTTTTGGGTTATATGAAACAACCTGGAGGCCAAAAAAACCACAAATGAACATTTTGTCCCAATCCTAAGAATATTGCCCTCAGATCCTAGGGACACTGCAACTGTCATAAATATGAAGCAATTCCCAAGCATCCAAAAATTGATCATGTGACCATGGGGATGCTGCCACAGACATAAATGTGAAAAGGGGTCATGTCACTTTTTTCAGTGTCATTGTAATTTCAAACAGTCACTAAAGGAATAAAAGTAACTCGGGAACTACCTGCATTTTTTAAATGCTCTCTTTAAAAATTTAAGGCACTGCTATATTACTAAATATGTATATACAGCTGCCCTTTTGAAAGTTTGAAGGAAAAACTAGCTTGTATTGGCATAAACAAGGGATGAATATCTGGAAGAGCACCATACGGCCTTTGCTGAATATTATATAGATACATGAAGGAAGAAACCATTGACCACCCAAATAATTCTTTGCCAAGCATTTTACTTGAAATGGTAGCTTTCTATAAGAAAGTTGTGAATTATTTTTTATAGACTACTCTGTCAATCATGCAAATCCCAGTCTATAGAATACAGCAGTCCACAAAATCAGTCCCATGGGCATTTATTTTGGGAAAGATATTCTTAATATTTCCTGCTTTGGTTTTTCTTATAATAACACAGAAAATCAATTGGCTTCATAGAATAAATCAGTATATATTCATGAACAGCCAGTTAACAGAGGTTTGAAATGTAATGTTATGGCTTTTTAATAAAGTTATCACAATGAAAATTTAATTAGATAACAATGAATTAGCTCCCAGCCATTATCACTGAACTAGATTAATCTTTAACAAAATCAATGACCAATTCATCTAATTCATATATACATTCTTAAGATATAACACTCAGTTCAAACATGGAGAATGGGCAGGTCTGCCAGTGGCAAAGAGCCAAGAAAAAGTGTAATCTACAAGAATAAGAGAGGTTATGCAAATCAACCATAGAGGAACACCTTGACAACAAAGAAGGAGTTTTTTATTCTGTTTGGGTGCCTGTTTGGGATATTTTTAATAAGAATATTTGGGTAAGGATATTTTGCAATCGTCTGAGACAGGAAAATATCTGTCACACGATACAGTACTCCAGGAAATGTGTGATTTCCCAGGGTGATTGTCTGCTGACTTGATCTCTCTCTCTCTCTCTCTCTCTCTCTCTCTCTCTCTCTCTCTATATATATATATATATATATATATATATATATATATATATATATATATGTGTGTGTATATATATGTATATATATATATAATATTATATTATATTATATTTATATCTATCTATCTCTATCTCTATCTTAGAGAAAGCTTGGGAAGGATTCCATGGATAAGAATCCTCAAGGGGAAAACAACTCAAGAAGCTTGGGAAATTTTGAAAAGTGAGATTATAAAAGCCCAGTCTAACACAATACCAACGAAGAAGAAAAATAACAGTTCTCAAAAGAAATCAGCATGGCTGCATAAAGAACTCTCTTTATGCAGAAGGACAAAAAGGACAAGTATAATAAGTGGAAAGAGAGGCACATAACTAAGACAGAATATCAGCAAATAGCCTGAGCCTGCAAAGATAAAGTAAGGAAAGCTAAGGCTCGAAATGAACTAAGGGTTGTGACAAAAGTAAAAAACAACAACAAAACTTCTTTCATCGTGTAAAAAAACAAGAAAAAAGTGAAGGAAATGATTGGTCCATTAGTGGGAGAAAGTGGCAAGAAGGTGACAAGGAACAGGGAGAAAGCAGAACTACTTGACTCATTTTTTGCATCCATCTTTACACAAAGGGAAAAAACGGTACCTATCAAAAATAGTACCGTAAAAAACAGATTAGAAACACAAGTTAAGATAGGCAAGAAAATAGTAAGTGAGCACCTGTCCACTTTAGATGAGTTTAAATCACCAGGACCAGATAGATTACACCCCAAGGTTCTGGCAGATGTGCTCTCAGAACCACTGAACTATATTTTTCAAAGATCCTGGAGCACTGGGGAACTACCAGAGGACTGGAAAAGAGCTGATGTAGTTCCCATCTTCAAAAAAAGGGGGGGGGGAATGGATCCAGGAAGCCACAGAACTATCATCCTCACCTCAATACCTGGGAAGATTCTAGAAAAGATAATCAAGCAATGAATCAGCGAACACCTAGAGGCAAACAAAGTCATTACTAAAAGCCAATATGGGTTTGTCAAAAACAGATCATGCCAGACAAATCTTATTGTGTTTTTTGACCAGGTCACAAAATTAGTGAACCAGAGGAATACTGTGGATATAACTTACATGGACCTCAGTAAGGCAATTGATAAAGTAGACCACAACCTACTACTTGATAAGATAGAAAAATGTGGGTTCCAGAAGACAAGCTCAGGATCCAAAAAGATCTTGATACACTTGAACAATGAGTCCTATCCAACAAAATGAGTTTTAATGTGGAGAAAAGCAAAGCTTTACATTTAGGCAGGAAAAATCAAAGGTATAAGTACAGATTAGGTGAGACTTGGCTCAAAAACAATAACTATGAGAGGGACTTTGGAGTCCTAGTGGACGATCACTTGAATATGAGCTAGCAGTGTGCAGCAGCAGCCAAAAAAGCTAATACAATCCTGGGTTGTATAAACAGAGGAATAGAATCAAGATCACATGAAGTATTAATACCGCTTTATAAAACCTTAGTAAGACCACACCAGGAATACTGCAACCAGTTTTGATCATCACATTACAAAAAAGATGTTGAGACTTTGGAAAAAAATCAGAGAAGAGCAACTAAGATGATCAAAGGCCTGGAGACTAAAACTTATGAAGAATGGCTGCAGGAATTGGGTTTGCAGGCTAGTCTTAAAAAAAGAAGAAATAGGGGTGATATGATAGCAGTATTCCAATATTTGAAGGGCTGCCAAAAAAAGAGGGTATCAAATTATTCTCCAAATTACCAGAAGGCAGGACAAGAATAAATGGTTGGAAACTGGTCAAAGAGAGAAGCAACTTGGAATTAAGGAGAAACTTCCTAACAGTGAGGACAATTAACTAGTGGAACAGCTTGCCTGCTATTGCTATTGGTACTAGAATGTGTCAGTACTATGTAAGGAAATGCATAGATTTATTCCATGATGCCAATTCGTTTCAATATATTACTGTAACAAGAACTGAAACCAGATATATTAAAAATAACTTTTCTCATAGGAAATGATGCTTGTATTACTAGAAAGCTTCAAATTAGATTGGGAGTTGCATAACCAGCAGGTTTCTTTTCCACAATCCTCTATAGAGAAAACTGTCATTTAAAATACTATAAAACTCTTGTAATGTGGCAGGATTTCTACTTTGGTATACCTAAAGTCTCAGCTTCCATCTAAAGTGAAACCATCCAGAAACATCTGAATTTTTGAGAAAACCAATAGATGAAAGATAACTTCTCATGAAGATAAAAATGAAATTTAAGTGACAGGGTATGTGTAAGGACCTACCTCAGCTAAGCCACCCAAGAAAGCAGAACTCTTGAAACAGGCATTGTCTCAAAAGGAACTTTTATTAGGGGCTAGTGATAGCAGGGAAAACAAGGCGAGGTCTGAGGAAAAAACCGTGAAAGCAGTATATTAAAAGCAGTATTCAATACTCTTCCCCCCAGGGTCCCAGGGTCCATTTGAATTCCAGCCAATCCACAGGTGGCATAGTGTTTTGGTAACTGGCTTCTTTGCTGCATTCATTCAAGGTCTTTCTTGCTTTCGTTTCTTTCTGGCTCCAAACAGAACCTTTCTCAGATAAGGGTGATACATTCCTTTCCTTGGGGGAAAAGGCACAATAGCAAGAAAGTGTAAAGCAGTGGTTCTCAGCCTGTGGGTCGGGACCCCATTTGGGGTCAAACGACCATTTCACGGGGGTCGCCAAACAACGCAGTC